AAGTAATAGTATATATATATAGTATATAGTATACTACTTATTGTATAGTGTGTGTGTCGTGTGTNTTATAATATACTTAGATATNCATATATTATATAGTATATATATATATATATATATATACATATATATATATATATATATATAAGTATATATATATATATACATACATATATATAGTTAAATATCAATATATATATATATATATATATATATAGTTATCATGTATGATTGGTTCGTGTTCATATGTTATTCAACTTGCTCTGCGTTTAGATTTCGGCCGAATTGTTGCACAGTCTACAAGAACCGGAGAAGTCACAATCTTCTGACTCTGCAAAGTCGCAGCCTCCACCGCAGACATTCACATATACAAACAGCCCACCTGTAGACAACGCGAAAGAAGCCGATCTGGAACTGATGCGAGAAAACATAGAACATTTACTGAAAGAGAGTAAGAATGAGGTATATTATTTCACAATTTTGTATACATTCCACGTGCAGCAGTTCATTATCTCAAGTGTCATGCTATTTATGTACGCTATTTATGAAATATCATCAGTGCTTAAGTCATTGCATAAGTACCTTATCTTTGCGCTGTATTTTGAGTTATGTTAAACCTATACTGGTCAGCGAGCATTGATGTTGCTGTATACTATGCATGATCGACCCATCGTCCTTCCATTTTAAAAGGAATTTGTTTTGTAGTTTCAGTTCATCCATTGCTTGAGTCCATGGTATCGCAATTCACATTGGTATCTCCGCGGTACCCACTCTTTTCACGACACTTCACAGGGAATTAAAGAAGGCAGACAGATCCTCGATAGTGAAGAGACGGCCGTCTCGCAGAAGTAAGCATCAATTTCTTCATACACCATCTTTCGACTGTTTAATTGTTAAATTGCATTTCTACACAAGCGTTGTCGCTTTGTTTGTGTTATCACTAAATCTGGCTAGTACACATCCGGAAACTTTCTCACACTTTTAAGTAAATAAATCATAGCCGGAAATTGCAAGATGCAACCCAAAATTATTGCTAATAACCGAGAACCCGTCTAAAAGCGTGAAGTGAAAAGCTTATGTAGTAATTTCGTATGAACTGTTTTGTTTTCAGAGCGATTGACAAAATTGAAGAAGATGCTACGGATAAGATCTTGAGTGATGAACTACAGGCTGAGCAAAGTTTAGAAAAGGCACTCAACGACTTTGAAGTGCGACACGGGTACGGTATCTCATAATTGAAATTTATTAGCTTGTATGCGTACTTATGCAATATCTACATATATTTCATCAATGCGTACTTATGCAATACGTACATATATTTCATCAATGCGTACCCATGCAATACGTACATAGACTTTATCAATGTGTACTTATGCAATACGTACATATATTTCATCAATGCGTACTCTACTCATGCAATACGTACATATATTTCATCAATGCGTACTTATGCAATACGTACATATATTTCATCAATGCGTACTCATGCAATACGTACATATATTTCATCAATCTGTGCCTGAGAATGTCAATCGCCCAGTTGTGATCTTGAATTCAAATATGTGTTGCACGCTCAGTTTACCATCAATTATTTATATAGTTCATTGAATTTGTAAATGTACATGTCATTGTACAGTACACACTTAGACTATCGTATGTGAACGTGTGATCCGGGGGGGTTGTTTTCTTTTGCAAGTTGAATGCAAGATGCAAGAATTTATGTAGCTAATTCTTCTAGGAGATGACCGCATGGGAAGCGCGTGTACTGTGGCCTGGTATGTATTCGAGTTTTCCTACTGAATACAGAAAACTTGGTATGAGTGCCCCGTGCGGGCTTCCGTCTACATCCACTTTCCTGTCCCATTTATTATCGTTTCTCAACATCATCCCTGAAACAGTCTTCTTCCTATCCTGAATATCCGTTGTGTAATTTTTATGCCGCATGCGCCGGTCTTGTTTCTCTTATTTAGGGTTAACAAGAGTCGGGAGCCGAAATGCAAACAAGAGGAAGCGGAGATACTAAAGTGTTATCGGTAAGTACTGGTTTAGTAGTGTTTTATCTGACAAGCACTGGTTTAGCACTGGCTTTTCTTGTAAGTACTGGTTTAGTAGTGATGTATCCGGTATGTACTGGTTTAGTAGTGATGTATCCGGTTAGTACTGATTTAGTATTGCTTTGTCCGATAAGTAGTGGTTAAGTAGTGATCCATCCGGTAAATATTGGTTTAACAGTGGTTAAGTAATGCTTTATCGGCAAGTACTGGTTATACACATTAGAACACCCGCATTCTGGACGAGCAACTACACTGCTTTGAATCGTAGTGCGATGTGATGCAATGATTGTTACTTGCACATTATCTGATCACCAATTCGGTCGCTGTGTGTGCGAATTAGGCCTGGAAATCACTTTTGAGTTGGATCTGTGTCAATGTTTAGGCGGGTATTGTCAGTATACAGTAACAGTGCCCGGGAGTTCATATCTGTCTCGCAGTGCAATTTGTTCACCGGTACATGTTCAAGTCCACCCCGATTTCTTGCACATGCTTTTGTAACACGGACTCGATTCAATCTCGTTTCGCTCATCTAGAAATTCGAAAACCCCAGCGGACTGTCACGATCTGATAGAAAATTTCACTGTGTGCGTCGATACGTCAAGGAAGGTATGCTCATTTTTTAATAAGTTTACGCACGTATAGCCTACATGAGATTCTTCTGACGTAGGTCCTATAAGTCAACCTGAAACGCGCAGTACATGATCGTGGTTGAGCAGTATAACGTGTGTCCGTGGGGTCAAGATACTGCTAGTGCGTTTCCGTTGTCGTTGATCTTATATGCGCTACCCAGCCAGCGTACACATGTACTCGTTACCGAACTTCGAAAGGCTCGTTATGCGCATTTCTCTTCTTTGTAAACCACTCAGAGCTCGCACATCTGCACATGTCCCACTTCAATGCAGCAGTCAGAACAGCGACAGTTTCGTTCGGAGAGATAAAGCCTATATCATTTTCTCTTATGTCCTACTCGGTCCATAAGATATAACAAGTTACGTACAAGTCTGTGCCTCTCGGTTGCTGCGTTTGATATATTCCCAATTATTCACCAATCCCTCCATCTTGTTTCCCAGAGCCGGATACAAAGTTCGTAGTCTTCAACGGCGTACGCAATAGCTTTGTCAGCCTACCGCTAGGAAGGCGTGTGTATTATCCTGATGCCTATCTCTCTGGATTGCCGGTCCTTTGAAAGCCTTGCCTTAGGTTATATGATGAAGTAGTTGTACGTATGTGGACTGAGAAGGTCATCTACATATACGATTAATCCGAAGGGATCTACCTAAATCAGTAAAGGATCTGTGGAGAAGACATGTTTCGCATCATTGAAAATTCTTAGCTGGCATGATATGCGCGACTGCGCCAACATCAAAAACTCGCAATCTTGTTATTAGCAGTAGTGATTGCGACATCATATTTTCTGCTTCATTTGTTGACAAGTGTTCTTTCCACTCTGGAACGGATTTTTCTCAACTTGAATAATATCTATTGATTACGATATGAATCACAGAAATATATGACATGCGCCACATAAATAGAGTGCACCAGTAAATTTCCGGCAAGTACGAATTGGCCTTTGGACCTGCAAGATTGTCATTTTCAGACATAGACCATACGTATTGCTAAATATAGCATTTTCGATTGTACACATGTATATAATTTAAGTAAAATTCTGGACAAGCTACGCGTCCTGGTCATGAAGTGACTTGATCATTTTGTCAGCTAAACAGCATAGCATAATAAGGCTATGGAAAGATCGCGCATGATTAACTCACATGTCCACGTGGACACAAGCGGATACTTTGAAGTGGATCAATGAGCCAAGTATTTTAAGGCTAAACCATATTGTACATGGAATACTGTTCTATTTTCAGAAGGCTATAAACAGGGGAAGATTTCAAGTTGAAAAAAAATACCACAACCTATTTTTTAATAAATAGGGGTTTAGTGTTTGGTGTTTTTTCGTTTTAACGTTTTTCTAGATATCACACAGCTTCGCCCTCACACATACGTGACTGGCAGCTGGCCTGTGGCTGTGGGGCGTGGGCTCACCTGGCTGTGAGGTTGTGCCCTGTCAAGTGTCAACAGTGTCAAGTGTGAGGGCGAGGCTGTGTGATATCTGGAAAAAAACGTTAAAACGAAAAAACACCAAACACAAACCGTTTTTTTAAAAACACACGAAACATTTAAAAAATATTACGTCCCAGAATTTGGCGCGAAACGCGACAATCAGTTTTGGCTTTTATTGTTAAGGTATTCAATTTCATATTTAGCCGCATTTATATATGTATTCGTACACAAACATCACCACTCTCCACGTACATGTACACCCCTGTGTCAACGTATAATACACCGTATGTTCGATTGTGACGGATAGGTTTATATGAAAGCTTGTGCATAGTGCCATCCGTTATTAGATATCATCTCGTGCATATACGTGTATATACTAAAAGAATTGTGTTCGTGTACTTAATAAAATAAGTCATGATGACGGCGTCAGGAACAAATGACCTTGTCACCAAGCGAGCGCGAGAATCGTCTCCACCACCCGCGCCACCACTACGCACACAAACACACATACAATCGAATAATCTACCTCTGGTACCTCAGCCAAGTGCAATGAAACGTGTGCGCGTGGAAGACACAAGTAGGGACCAGCGAGTGTGGAGCAACAACCCTTCGCGAGATGTGTTTGCGAGTATGTGTCGGAGGTCTGGTATCATGGATGATAATGAACATGAGAAAGACTTCAGTATCATGTGCACTAGTAAGGCCAAAGATGATGAGACCCAAGAAGCCAAAAGGTTTTATATTCACAAACTTGTACTCAGGTTGGTTAGTCGCGAGTTGAACGACGAGATCAAGGCTACGACCGACAAGAAATTGTACTTAGAATGCTCAGAACCGGCCGGCCAAATATTTGTGAATTACTGCTATTTGGGAGAGAATGTGTACAACGAACTCAAGCCCAGCAATGTGTTCGAGGTGTTTGAGATAGCCAAGAAGTATGCCGTACGACCTTTGATAAAGTTGTGCGAGAACTACTTGCACAACAACCGTAAACAGAGGTGTCTCGCGCTCCTGGCTTACGCGCCTGAGGAATCAGTGGCGGTTTATCTTGAAACTGCGAAACAAAACTTCTGTTCACTAGTCGGGGCACCAGCAGATGTGGTTCACCTACCTAAGCAGATATTTAAGAATGTGATGACAGACGAGCGCCTGATGGTCGACAGTGAAAGGTTTGTCTATGAAACTGTGATGCAATGGATCAAGGCGAATTCAGACGGGCCAGAGTGTGCAGCAGAACTATTGACAGATTGTGTAAAGCTAGAGCGCTTACTTGTAGGTATGTTTTTCAATCGTTGTCTGTATATGTATCCTTTTATTTGTATCATATGTATCTGTATGAATGCACGTGTATTTATGAATGTATGCTCGTGAATATGCTCGTGGATCTATTAATATGGCACACACCCGCAAGAATTATACATATATGTATACGTGTCTCTGTTTCATTACACATGAATGTGTGTATATTTATATTTGTGTATATGTCTGGATATATGTGCAAGTATATGAATATATATATGTGTGTGTGTGTGTGTGTGTTTGTCTGTATGTGTATGTGTGTATGTGTCTGGTGTGTGCGTGTGCGTGTGCGTGTGTTCTCATATATTATGTATATGTATATATATATCTATATCTATATATATATATATATATTAATTTTGTGTGTGTGTGTGTGTGTATGTGTGTATGTATGTGTGTTACTTA